TGACTGGTCAATACAATGAGTGATCTGTGTAACGGAGAATGAAAATCATATCTATATTTGGACGTTTCCTCCTGTTTTTAATTACAGATCACAACTAAATAATTTATTTAACACTATATAATTTAATATATATATTTTTTTTCAATTTTAAAATTTTAAAAAATTGCATTTTGGTTCAAATGGAACACAATATAAAACATCTTCGATGAGGTAGTTATTGACAAACTGTTGTCATTAAAATAATTTTGACAAACTTTTGTAAACTTGTAATATTCGCTAGAACTTAAAAGTAATTTTTATTTGTATTGAATAATAATTATACAAGGTAAATGTACCTAAACTTTCTTTTTTTAAAAGGGTGTAAACATGAATAACTTGTTTTTTATGAATCCAAAAAAAAAAACTATTCAAATCATTGAGGACAAACAACTTGTATAATAAACTTGTTTTTAACTATGCAGTATATAAAATAAGCCAAGTCTAAGAGACGAAATTGAGAGTGTTACCGAAATTATTGCAATTAAAATAACATTTGGAGTAGAATTATCAGGTATGAAAATAGGTTTGTTTGGCTTATTTGGTCTCAAGTGAGTATCCAAATACACAAAGAGAGCAAGAAGAGTATATACGAAGCCATAGCTGAAGGCAAATAAATAGTATCTGTAATAATGAATTTTTTTTTGTTTTTTTAAAAAAAAAGTATATAGATTAATATGATGTCTTATCAAATAATAACCGATAAAACTGTAATAAAAGATCAACATACGCAAGTCCCTCAATCAAAAAGACAGCATTTAAAACATTTCCCGATACATGGAAAAGCGCAGCGAGAGGTAATAAAAGTACATGATGAAGATGTTTATCCTTTGTATGATGATTCAGTTTATTGTCATGTCCTGATTCTCCTTCATCACCAGGGGTATTAGTGTCATCTTTTTTATAATTTCGTCTTGTTGTAAGGTATAGTCTTATAAATTGGATACAAAATGCCCAATCAAGAGAAAGGCCTGCAAATATATGTTAAATATTAGTCGATGCATCAATTACCAAATTACATGTAGAAATACTATACATAATGTAAATTTATTTTTAACCTTGAGCTTTAAACCAAAAAGCATCATACGGCCATGGAAGAAAAATAGTTGCACCACCGGCTATTAATACATAAATGATACTATAATGAATAATATTATCATTTGTAGCAAGAATTCCACCTTGATGTAAAAGTATTATAATAATAACTTCAAAATAATTATGTATTATGGCAATCGATGTAAAGAGTTTTCCAAGATCCAATAACATCAAGGAGACCGCAATTGTACCAGTCACGATACTATAACCAGCTAGCAATTTATTAAAAGTAGTTGTTGAAGTTTTTTCGTTATTAAATATGAAGACACTAAGTGTCTCGTATTTTAAAGACCATATTAGCACTAATACTCCAGGAACTAGTTGTAAGAAAGCTGTGAAACTGATAATCGAATACCATGTTTCTAGATTAAAATCTAATCAAAGAAGTATTAACATTTATCTAGTAAAGTTTAAATATAGTTAAGGATTTTATATACTTTGAATTGCAGGATGCCATGTTGGAAAATTTGTCAAAGTAGCATTAATTGGAGTTGGAAAATTTGAAAGGTTCACGAGCGAAAAGCTGAAAAGCACACCACCAAGTAATACCAGGAAGATAAAGGAAACAAAATAGCGATAATTGATCATTTTTGATGTAATTGCACTATGTCTTGAATGTCTAGAAAATTTTTCTTATACAAAGACATCGGAATGTATATTTATAGAGTCATACCAGGTACTGAGTGTAATGTTTGGACTCGAGTCAGCTTGTAACTTAAAAAAAAAAATATATAGTCTTAACTCGAATTAACTCGAGTCAAGACTATGTTTTTTAAGCCACGAGTTGATTCGAGCCTAAACACTAACTGAGTGCAACGAAGCATATTACCAAGACCACTGTATGGTTATACGAACGCATTTAGAGGATTTAAAGGTATTTTATAAACGATAAGGAGAAAAAATGGAGGCGATGATATTTATAAATAATTAATAAAACATATTATAGATAATTAATGCAGCTTTAATTCCCGATAAATATGCTTCGAATGTAAATGCTAATTCATCATAAGCTCATTTACACATTGTTTTTTATTTTTAGAATTTAGAACGATGGTTAATGCAAAACTTGAGGCTTAAAAAAAAACAATTCTCCATTTCTGGCTTAGATGTCTAATCAATAAAACATACAAGAAAAAACAAGCATTTTTTTTTCGGATTATCGAGCGTGATCTCAAAAAAGTGAGCCAGGTATAGTAAATTACGTATATTTAAAGTTAAATTCTAGACTTAATATTCATAATTGATAAATTATTTTCGGGGAAATTACAAACAAGGGCCCAAATTTGAAAATAATTACAAATAAGGGCCCAAAATAAAAATAATTACAGATAGAGGCCCGATATTTGAA